GAAGCCGGCGATGAGAAACCAGAGGACTTGCCGGCGATGAGAGGGGAGAGACGGATGCGATGAGAGGGTTAAAAGGGTAATATGTCAAATAAGTCAAGATGGAGTAACTTATCAAAAACAACTTATTACCGGTTTGGCACCGGTATAAGCAGTTTTTTTTTTTTCACATCCAAACACTCAAAATAACTTATCGGCGGTTGTGGACTGAAATAAGTTGATAAGCACCTTAAATAAGCTTTCCCAAACACCCCCTTAGTAAGAGACGAATCTTATTTGGTAAAAAAGAAATTTGTTTTTTAATGGTTTTAAAACTTTTAAAATTATTTTGTATCTTAAGTCTTCTTTAACCATTCAATGTTCTAATTTTGTTGTAAATAATTACCAAATAATTATATTTCATTTTACACTATATCATAAGAGGCTTTTAATCATTCTGACTATTTAATCATTATGTATCAAACCGTTCAATAACTGTCAAACAACTTTTATTTATTTGACAAAATAACAAATAAACTAGCTAATAAATTAATCATATTTAATAAAATAATTAAAAATACAAAATGATAAAAAAAAATACTATCATAAAATAAATAAAATTAAAAAGTCAAACCTTGTTTCTTGAGGATATCCGCCGGACGGGCTTTAAATCGAAAGATAGAAGATAGAGTGCCGGCCGACCAGGCGGAGGAGCGATGGACGGAGGAGTAGTAGTGGTGCATCCGGCAATCGGACCTCTGGCGTATCTGCTCGGAACTTGGAGAGGTCAAGGAGAAGGCGGTTTCCCAACCATATCCTCCTTCACTTATGGTGAAGAACTCAACTTCACTCATCCCGGAAACAAGGTTCGTAAATTGATTTTTAAACAGAAAGTGCTTGTTATTGTTTACTGAATTCATGAATTTTTCGTTGTTTTAAACAGTATCGATTTGAACATATTCCGATGATAATCGTGTTTGTTACCAGAATTCTGATTATTGGTTCCATTTCTAAGAAGAAACTTAAATTTCGTAACCATTTTCTTATTACGAAGCTTTTACTCCGATTTACTGTCCAAATCAGGCTTCATATCAATGATTTTGATGTTCATCCGATATGAATTGACCTAGTAATGTGTCTTTTGGTCTAAACTCTTAATCATCTCGTAATATCAAAATTCATTGGCTGGATCTGAATACTGATAGTTGCTCGATTACTCTTAGATTCTTGTAGATTTGAACCTGTTCTAACAGATGAAAACAATGCCAATTCATTGCAAGCATTCTCGATCTCTGTTCAAATCTCCATAAACAAGTTGTAAAGATGCTGTTTGATCATTCTTCAACTTAAATTCGGCATAGATGCTATATTTAATATGATTTTGTGTGAGTAGCTCTTTAAAACTTGATCTAATTTCCTGACTGATGCCATTAAACTTGCTTATCGATAAAAATTGCTTCTATCAGCCTGTAATCGCGTATTCTCAAAAGACTTGGAAATTGAACTCTGGAGAGCCTATGCATGCCGAGAGCGGATACTGGAGGCCAAAGCCCGATGGAACCATTGAGGTTGTCATAGCTCAAAGCACTGGTCTCGTCGAAGTTCAGGTTAGTAAGTTCAGTAGCATGGCCTCCAAAAAGATTGGAACGGCACTTCTCCTTGAGCATTTGAGGGTGGTTTATTTATTTATATTTCTGTTTTCGAGTTGGATATACTTGGTGGTTTGGTTTGGTTTGGTTTGGTTTTTGCTTAATTCATGTTGCTCATCCTTTGCAGAAAGGATCATATGATGCTGAAAATAAAGTGGTGAAGCTTCATAGTGAGGTTATAGGAAATGCTTCCAAGGTAATGCATTACGTAAATAACACACATGTGTCGATAACTAGCATAATAACGTGTTAGCATTTCTTTCCGTTTCAATATGCCTATTTTGAAAAAAACATGCTACTTGTCGTCGTCGTCTTAGAATTTGTCGTTCAGGTGTTTGAATGTGTGTTCGAAAACCTATTTTTGATGTTCGTGTACATAAAGATGGAACATTGAGGTTTGATGGTGTGATTGGTTTGTTGGACAGGTGAAAGAGATATCTCGGGTTTTTACTCTGGTTAACGAAGAGTTATCTTACGTAGTTGAGATGGCTACCAATCTCACCGATCGTCAACCACATCTGAAAGCATCGCTTAAGAAGCTCTAACGTCATTTTGATCCAACGATAACTCGTTTTTAAACATCTTCTCTTTGTTGGCCCTTGTGAGTTACGCATAGAGTTCAAAGAGGTCAAATCGTTGATGGTTGTATTTTGTATCACCTATGATCCAGTTGCTAAAACTTTTGTCATACATTTTCACCGAATTCTTTCAATTAAAGGATCTCATTCAAGATTTCTAGTTTCTAGTAACCAATTAGGAGATTCTTTAGGTGCCAATATGCTATCGTTTGGAGGTAGTCTCTGAAGGAAAATATACATATGCAAAACTAACAATGGACCCATGATTTTTGTCGAGCACGTCCACCTTTAAGGTGGATAATTTGCGGTTGATGATATGGAAAAGTTAATGTGGTTTGAAAAAGCCATTTGGGTCGATTGGGGAATATACATTTTTCCTAACATTATCAACCTTTAAACAAGATACAAGACTATGTCTTAAACATAAGTCCAAAATGTTTTTATCCGAATTTCATCGTTCTAGAGGGATTTTTTTCAAGTTTTTTGGTTAATTCCAAAGGATTTTTTGAGTTCTATGGTTGATTTTGGAAACCTTTTTTTTTTTAGGTTGATTTTAAGTTTTTTGGTTAAAATCTCTAATATTTTCTATATTCCAAAGCACTCCTCAAAGTTTATATACACCTTGTATACCCCAAAAGCATTTCTACATGCAAAAATAGGTTGAAAGACCACCTTTTCTTGATGCAGACCTACGTTAACCCAAAGAAGTAGAACAATTTAGAAAGATGGCAATGGCATCATGAACCATGACTCCTGTTATTTATTGAACTAATGTTTTGTCAAAGAAAAAGGAAACCAGATTCCATTTATTTTAGATGATAAAGAACATGGAATTCATACCAAAAGAAAGAACGATAAATTACAAACTCTCCGCTCTACAAACAAAAAAAACCTCAAACCATGTTACCATCATTTCCCGAAAGCCTTTCATTTTTTGTTGCTTTTTTCTTCATAATTTTATTACATCATGTGAAAAAACAGCTTCAAGTTCGGTAGAGAACCCGAATTAGCCCATGTTTCCCATACAAATGTACTTGATCTGCAAAAGGTTAATAACCAACAGTCACACTTGTGTATCGCCATAGTTCTATTTCGGAAATTAATATGATCCATTTAACTTGAAATTTGCTCTTTAGAAAGTAGGGTCCTTGGATGAAATACTGAAATGTACGCAAACTTGTCCTCTACCTCAAAGGGTAGAGTCGAGCCCGTGCTTCAGTAGGGTGCATTCGGTATGCAAACTATGACTGGACTGAAAGAGGGAAATAGAGATGCACAAAAAAGTCCAAGCTCGAAGCTCGGCCCGAGCCTGGCTTGAAAAAGCATGGACCTAGTGAGCCTGAAGCCCAATCAAGGCCAGGCCTTTTAAGCCTAATCAATCCCAAATTTTTTGGGCAGACAAAGCCCAGCCTGATAAGCCCAAAAAGGCCCAATTGGACCTTTTCCCAACCCCAAATCCCAGCTCGACGCAAGTCTAGAAAAACCTGGGCCTTGTGCGTCTAGTGAAGTAGGCCGGTGAAAAAATTCTTGAAAGTTTTAGGGTTTTAATTTGGCAGGAGTAGTTTAATAATTTACCAATTTTGTCTCATTTGCTTCATTTTTATTTCACTTATTTTGGTAGGACAAAGAAATGTCTTCTGTCCTACTCAAGTCCTGTCTTAGTCTAATGTCGTGTCAAACGTAGGACAAGTCTTTATACTGTCTCACGTACCAAACTGAAAGTGACCCCACCGGCTTTGTACAATAAGGCTTTAATTCAAAGGAAATTTATTTCATACTATTTATGTGCAGGTGAACTAGTTTATGTTTATGAAGGCTTTCCTGATTCTCTATATGAACTAACAAAAAGTAGTGTGTTGGTACTTACTTCAAGATACTCGTCCAATCCATATTTGGAACCTTCGCGTCCTAGACCAGACTGCTTAAAACCTCCGAACGGAGCCACCTGTACGTGATGCAAACAAGCAAAACGAAACCATTGAATAGCAATCTTCTTTTACCCGTTTGTAGTTGTGGATGAAAGATCGATAGACAGATACGTACCTCTGTAGAAACCAATCCTTCGTTGACTCCAACAATACCGTATTCAAGAGCTTCAGAAACACGCCATGAACGTTGAATGCTGTTTGTGAATACGTAAGCAGCTAATCCTGCACATGTATATGAAATACGTGTCTTAACAAACTAATCAATTCCGATCTCTCATCAACCAATGGGGTTCTTTTTCACGGGTTATTCAGGAAAATAACCTTTCGACGGATTTTTTTTAAATGCACAACCTTTTAAAAGATTTTGAGGCATTCTTCTGTTAAGCGGAGACATTCTTAAATCTTTAAGAAGGTCATGAAGTTAAAGGAAACTTTTCAAACGCAATTTTGCATAATATTGCTGTAACATCTCAGGCCAACTGTACAAAACATCGTCCACTTTGTCCACACCTGGACTCACGGTTTTAAAACGCGTCTAGTAGAGGAGGTATCCAGTCCCTTATAAAGCAACCTTACTTCCCCTCCCCAACCAATGTGGGATTTTACAATCCACCCCCTTGGGATCCCAATGTCCTTGCTGGCACCAGTCCGTTTCCCAGTTCTGATACCATTTGTAACATCTCAGGCCAACTGTACCAGATATTGTCCGCTTTGTCCACCACACCTGGACTTATAGTTTTAAAACGAGTCTGGTAGAGGAGGTTTCTCGTCCCTTATAAGGCAACCTTAGTTCCCCTCCCCAACTGATGTGGGATTTTACAATCGCCTTTCATTGAACTATACAACAGAAATGCACGAGTAAAGAAGCAATAAATTTAGGCTTCGACAACGACTGGGCTATTTACTTAAATGACCTTCTATGGAAGTCACTTCTACAAACTAACATTCTAGTGGGTTTTCCAAAATTTTACACAATCATTGACACCAGAGTCGGGTCATTTGAAGGTTATTGAGTTAACAAAAAAAAACTAAAAGGTCTAGTGTTGTTGGGCTTGTCTTGATTACGCAGTTTCAAGGCTTGTTTCTTACGGGTTAAGGTTTTATCGTATTAGGTTCGCTTTTTGTAATTTTCTGCTTTCATTCTCCGACCACCCAACTAGTTTGTGATAAACGGCCTAGTGTTGTTGGGCTCATGGAAGAAGTATTTGAAATATATAAATAAAGGAGCAATGTAAAAGATCAGGCATAAGGATATAAAACAAAACCTGCATTAGTGTCATTAGCAATCTGTATGGCTTCTTCTTCAGTTTTAAACCGTAAAACAGGTGCAACAGGTCCAAATACTTCCTGTCTGTAGCAATAAAGATTACAGTGCTAGTCAAATCCACTTTTAAACCTAAAATCTTCTAAGCAAAATATAGCCACCACAATAACACTAAAGCCTACTCGAATACTTTGAGATTACCTTGCTATGAGCATCTCATTCTTGACATCACCGATAACCGTAGGCTCATAAAAAGTCATGCCAAGGCTATGCCTCCTACCACCGAGAAGAGTTTTGGCTCCCTGTATAAAACAATATTTTACATGTTCCGGAAAATCAATATAAAATCCTGCTACAAGATATATAAAATCAATAAGATAAGAGATTTCAAGATTTATGACTACGAGATATATTATTTCTTGTTACTTTTTCTTCGACTTCTCTACCTGTTTTTCTATCTTTTTTTATTGCTTTCCTCTCTCTTAAAACTCTTGAGTGGAGATCCCTTCTTACCCTTCTCACCATAGCTTTCATTCTCACCGGAACCCAACCCATGTGCTCCTCCTCACCATAACTTTCATTCTCACCGGAACCCAACCCATGTGATAGAAGCATGGATTTAGGACCATTCTTGGCATGTTATGAGTTACTAGTAAATTAAAAGAGAAGACATAATATTGTCTGAGGTTATAAACAGTTTATGTGGTAATCAAACCTTTGAAATAGCATCTTGCAAAAATGATTCAACCTGCAAGGTACCATTGAAAGGGTTCAAACCATTAGAATGGATTCAGGAAACATAAAAACAAGACAAGAGCGCTACAAGGACGGAATCTGGAATAATTCAAGAAAAAATTAACCTTCTGTACAGCAGCCTCATTGATAAGTGGTCCCTGCAAAAGAATATCGAACACCGATTACAATTCTTATGGTTCCCTCTCCCTTGTCAGGAAAAGAACGACTGAAAATTGCCTCATAATAAAGTTGGTTTATTTGAAGTACTAATTGGTTACGCCATCTTAAAATGTATGCAATGACGTCTCAAAAACCTCCACATAGATGATGGACCGATTTTTCAGAATACATATTGAACACATCACTATTTCAAATAACTGCTTACCAGAGCCACACCTTCATCAAAACCATTGCCAACTTTAAGGTTCTGAACAGCCTTTGAGAAGGCATTTGTGAATTTCTCATATATGCCTACAGGGATGATAGTTGTCTCGTCATGCAACAAAGAAAGACTAGATGAAGGAACATACATAAAGAACCACAAATATTTAAAGTACAAAATAACATTTAAGGAATAAAGAGAAATGGGTAATCAATGAACATTTGCTGTCAGATTTCACCCACCATCAACACAGTTAGAAAGCAAAAAAAAGAAGTGTCACGTTTACATGTATTAGATGTGCTCTACTATTCAATTATGAAGGTTTGGAAGCTTCACGTCACCGTTCCCAAACTAAGGGATGTCATAAAAATAAACCTTGCCGAAGGCAAGAGAAGCAACCAACTTTACTCCTCAATTGCTCAAGAAACAAGATGAAATAACGTTTTTTCTGGATCATCTTTGAGAAGTCTTTGAGATATATATCAAGAGTGAGAAATTAAAATTGATGTCAGCATAGGATAAGCACGATCAACGAAGGCAAGCCGAACTTCAATAGATGCTTATCATGACTCAGATGGAAACCGGACGGGGTTTGCTATCCCTATCCCCAGCCCATCCCCGACAGAAAAACGTTTAATTTAGTGTATTATTATCGAATTCGTTTAAACACGTCTATTACGGAGTTTGATGTATAAAGAAACTCGAATAAATTAATAAAATATTTTTCTAATGTATGATATTCTAATTCATAAATTTTAAACGAACAACCAACATGTTGAATTAAATATTTAAGTAGTTAAGTGAGAAATAAATGACCGAGGTGGTGCATAAACGATGAGTGGTGCAAAGAGATCAATGATACGGGTCAAACTACCATCCCTACTCATTGCTAAACCTCCTTGTAGTTGACCAAAATCAAAGAAGTCTTTATCCATATGAGTTGGGCCTATTGTGGTAGCCAAATATATATTAGTTACTGTGGAACTTCTATAGATAAGAGAACGAGCGGGTCAATATGAACAGTCTAGATAAAGATAAAGGCACCAAACATTTGCATCAAGAAAGCTTTAAGCACGTTTTTGACACAGAAATTTGCTTATTATACCTTCTTGTACAAGTATTCTATTTGCACATACACATGTTTGTCCACTGTTACGGAATTTGGTTGCCAACTGAAATTACAGAATGAATAAGCAATTAGTAGGCAACAATACACTAAAATGACAATCAAATGATAATGGAAATAAGTGGCGGTTGATATAACGAGGTTATGCAAGGTATCATAATTTTGGGTTAATCGGTCCAACACTTCTATATGATAAAAACAGCTTGATTTGTCTAATGTGAAAAAATCATAACATATCGTGGATAGTCATGTGAAGAAAAATGTATCATTGGTTGTTCATAAGGATTTACGATATGATGATGATCGTGCTAGAGTGGTTATAGTGGCAAACTAAAAAGATCTTGCAACTTCATGGATCATTTTAGTCTGGAGCATTAGTCTGTATTACAACTTATTCAAGAGGATGATTAATCTCTCCATGCACAAAGAAGTTGAATAATTGTGGATTATGATAGATAGATGGTAGGTACAAGTGTACAACAAGGTACTGGCATAAACTTAATTATTTTCTCAGAATAAAGACCAATGTTTGTCATCGTGCGCCAACACTAGAATACCTAATCTAAAGCAAGTGCATACAACTTGAATATTTATTTATACCATTTTTCTAAAAATTTATTAGTAGCCCCTTAGGAAGTGAGGAATATGGTAATCTACCACAATAACGCACCAATTATTCTGTTCAAACTCGTATCTATATATTCAATGTGTTCTATTTTATTTTGAGGGACTTGCGGTAATTCAAATTTGAATTCATTGTATGAGTTTTTGTTGAACATTCTTAAAGAGTAGTTATATGAGGTTGTTTGGACAAAAGCTGGAAGCATTACATAAAAACAAAAAAATCCCCCAAGGTTCCAGTCGGTTGACAGTTCATAATTTTCCCGAAAACCACTCGAGCCATCTGGTCCGAAATGACACAAAACCGGCATATACCAAACCATGAGCAGGCAAAAAGTGAAGGTATTGACACATCTTTATAGCTTTACATGGGGTCCTGCACCCTACTCACACATAATCATGAATTAAAAGTGTATCATTGGAACAAAAATTCACTTACACTCCCTTTCAGTGCCACTTCCAGGTCTGCATCATCGAAGATTATGCAAGGTGCATTCCCACCAAGTTCAAGAGATACCTAGAACAATCAACAGTCTACAAAAATTAAGGCTGCAACATAGTTTGAAGGCACTGCAAACATGAATTTTCATTACAACTACCTTTTTTACAGTCTCGGCTGCACCAGCCATCAATTTCTTTCCAACAGCTGTTGAACCAGTAAACGTTATCTTCCTTACCTAAATTAATTCCAGGGAATCATGAATGCCTGCAATATATCCTTGAACATCCAATGATTCAAGCAAGGGAAAGATTTGTGTCCGAGGAAATGTAAAAACCTGCGGGCTCTCCATTAAAGATGTTCCGATAGTAGGAGCATCTCCCATGACCACATTCAAGACCCCCTGAGGTGTTTAGGGAACAGAAATGAATTTCGAAATTAGTTACAAATGATAGAAGATTGAAAAGACAAAAATGAAGTAACAACAACAAGCCATCTGACTGATCATGAGCTAATAATCATTAAATATTATAAATCCACAAGCAAGTGATATATTGCACCAACTTAATGGAAAACATAAAGTTGTCGTCGCAGATGAAAAAACCGTATCTATACTATATACTATATTATAAAGCATTTGGCAAAACTCTTAAAAACCATTTTTTATGCATCAAGTACTTTATATTGATGCATATTACTTAAAATTCAAGATTACAAGTGAATTATCATAAGTACAACTTATTAAAACTCCATTTTTAATTCATGTAACTAACTGCAGATAAACATAACCAAATACATGATAAACATCTAATTTTAAATACAAAAAATCTAAAATATAATTAGGATAATCATTGAGTTCTAACATAACATTTAATTATCATCTTTATTAAAAATTATATTATTAAACCGAAAATAAATTACTATGTTATTAAATCTAAATTAAATTATAATAAAAATATTGAAATTAAGAAGTTACAAAAAAAAACGTGAACTTCTAAATAGTTAATTTGAAACTAATATCGATATATTTTTTTCAAATTTTTATGAGATATTCGAATTTATATTTTATTCAAACATAAAAACATTATCGCTTTAGCAAAACCACATAAAACCGTGTTATAAAATTAACAGAGACAAAAATAAAACAAAACACTAAAATCAAGATGTATCATGCTGCATTGCACGAGTACCCTTCTAGTATTATTTGAATGCCAACACAAATTAAAGAGGAGCATCAGGGTTGAAACAGAAATATTCAAAATGGCTGACTTGTCACATAATGGTTACCTCGGAAAGGACATATCAGCAACTGGTCCAATGATAAAAATGTTTTAGTGCAAAATGTTAAAGCACTTGCATAGGACTGGACTTCAACAAAATAGGACAACAGAGAACTGGTTAAATTTAATAACAGTATGTGTCAAATGCTTGATGATGGTGGGCAAGGGGTCACTACTAGCTTGAGTTGAATCTGCAAGTAACCACACCAAAAAAGAACCCCTATTTTCCTTGTTCCAGTTCCTTTTTGGGTACATCTGCTACAATGGAAAATGACTGAATAGAGGTGTCTGAACTGAAACCATGAATCAATTTTCAAAAGAATACACACTTCAATTATCTTCTTTCACCGGCTTGTATGACATAAATGTAAATACGTAACTTTTATATGTGCATACATATCATTGATGTAAGTTTATAAGACATACTGGTGGAATTCCAGATTGAAGGGCAAGCTCAGCTGCTGCTAAGGCAGTCAATGGTGTAAGCTCGGAAGGCTTTATGACCACAGTACAGCCACAGGCAAGAGCAGGGCCAACCTGATACAAGAGTGATATGCAAGATTTCATTCTGAGTTACAGCCAACAATTACAGAGGTCATCATAATGATGCAGTATTCTCATGTTAATCAATGGAACCATCCTACCTTCCGAGTAATCATTGCCAAGGGGAAATTCCACGGAGTGACAGCACCAACCACACCAACAGGCTGCAAATTTGAGGAACATGAAGTACTTAAGAAAGTGTTGGTAAAGGTAAGTCTCACAGAACATATAGAACAACTAGTCCAAGGAAAACTGGAAAGCAGTCAGAAGTTCAGATTCTCAAAAGTTGTATGCACGAACACAGATAGTTCAGTGGAACACAAAGACCAAAATATGAAGAATCAAGATTCAGCTATTGCAATGTCTTGCATAGAAAATTGATATGTTCATGATAACATTGCACATAAATTAGTCAACTCAATTAATATCAACTCTCTCTCAGCTACATAAAATGACGTTCAAATAAAATTGTATATGTTCGTCATATGTAAAAGCATAAATCATAAAACCAAGTCAAGTGAGTTTATCCTTGTCTGTTATCTGCATAAGTGAAGGTTTGCCAAGAAGAAAATTCACACCATGGAATTACAAGAGGCAAGGATAAGAGATCAAACGAGGAAGGCAGGAATTAAACTCCATTCCTAATGATTGTAAGAAATTGGGATTAGAATGGAAACCTGAGGAGATAAACCACTTAACATAAACATAAAAGGTCTGAAATTGCAACAACAAACGTAAATTAATAACTTAGGTAAGAGGTAGGTGTTTTTACAGGTCGCTTTGGATGTATATTGTGTAATGCATGTAACAGATCCTACCCATATATGCTGGTGTTACACGGTCATTTCAACCCCCATAATTTACTTAACTTGTTGCAAGTATAATTAACTTATTCTAGAAATCCCTTGGCAATTTTTAAAACCAAACCAATTTATCATCTTCATTATAGCGTTGAGTACTCCATACTAGATCCTCTCGCAAAGTAAGGTCCAGATTCAGTGAAATCAACTCACAAGGGTGTTTCTGATAAGAACCAGTTTTACTAAACAATTAAAATAGAACAATGTAGAAGAAACAGTAGCCAAATGCTTGATTAACAAGAAAATGACAGGTAACTAGCTATTCGAGAGGCTAGACTCTCCCAAGGATAAACTCAATATTTTTCTGCATACCCTACTCTCCCCTCTATCCCCTATTTGATAACAGTCCTAATAACCCTAATGGGGTTGGGGTTGGGGTTGGGGTTGGGGCCTAACAGTTTCATTATATCACTCTAGCCAAATGGCATCCAAGAATCATTCCACTCAAAATATCAACAGTCACTGCACCAATAAGCACATGGACCAGTTTTGAGACACACGGTGACCTTTCCTCAATTCATCATGTAAATTCTGTTATTTGCTTTGACAATGCATATCAAATGGTGAATATTATCTGGACCAACAAATGTGTGAGAGATGCTATGCTATGTAGCTACCTCAACTTCAACCTATCCAGATTAAATCAGATCATAGGTAGAGTAGTTATATCGACATAATTGTTGGCTTAAATAAAATCACCTGCTTTAGAACAAACAGGCGGCGATCAGGCAGTGCTGATGGAATTATGTCACCATAAACACGTTTTGCCTCCTCTGCAAAGAACTCAATGAAAGTAGCCCCATATGTGACCTACAAAAATTAAGAACCAGAAATGCATGCTTGCCCTCGAAACATCAATATCCTTATCTGAAACGTCTGGTGCTCATACCTCCCCAATGGCTTCTTTTAGAGGTTTCCCTTGCTCCAAAGTTATAAGTTGTCCAAGCTCTTCTTTATGTGCCATCAGTAAGTTATACCTTGAATTATATGTTGAGCAAAATGATCAGACATCTCTCATGTACTATCTGAAGCAAAATATAACTTACAGACAGCATGCAACAAGAGTAACCAAGCCTTTATATCATAAAGAAACAAAATAACTTTGATATCAACATTTAATACCAATTACGTAGACGACCACTCCTGTCAGCAGCAGTAAGCTTGCTCCAATCTGCGCAGCAAATGATCGTTTAAGCATTTAACTGAACATGGTCATGAAACAAATCTCCAAAACCTATTGCTACAAAAACAACATCCACACATCAAATGCAGATTGCACCTATAGATATGTATTAAAAGTACATACCAATGTGTAACATACAGAAGGCCATAAGTTATAACAGAAACTGACTTAACATGGTCCAATTTACTAATTACACCCTCTTAATGCCATTACTAAAAGATTAGACACCTTTTGCTATGTAAAGTTGTAAACGCTCCCCCAATCCTATATCAAGTGTCGCCTTTCCCTAATATGCCTTCCTTATCAAAATTCATAACTCCATATAGAATGGTTCTTACATGTCTAAGGCTTGCTTGACTAAAACATGTGGGATCTTGGTGTTCCTTCAACAATTTCTGACCTCTAGTGGACCTCTCAGTAGGATTCGAACCCCATATTGTAGGGTAGATCTCGAAAGATATGAAAGATCTCATACGGCTCCTCGTTCAATTCTTTCGAAGTTATTGGATCCTGTGTTGGGCATCTGAAGGAATGACTAACAAGACTACAAATACAAAGACCAAAGGAACCAGAAGACCCCAAATGTGTTGCAAAAATTTTGAGGTTTCTTGGTATCCATATCATGCTCAATGATAGTTACTTAGTTAAAATTGCTTCCCTAAGTTAAAGCCGAAGGTTTTTGTTCAGACCTTAAGCTGAAATGTTTGACATATCTTATTTGAAGTCTAATTATGTGCTATTCACGAGCGGAACATAGACTCACAATCAACTTACTCTTCATTGTTATGTGGCCAGCGACTAGTGTTTGTTATTTGGATTTTCTTTGTAGAGATGGATTAATGTTCAGTTGCATTTCAATTTATATGGTTTAGGAGTGGCACAAAGAGTTCCATTATATGTTATTGTACTGTGTTTAGGATCTGATGTTGAAGGACTGTTGGCGGACTGAGGTATGAAGACGTGTGAACATGGAAACCCATGTCCAATTACTCTGAACTCTGAATACATTAATCCATTATATGTCTAGCATGTAGTAATATTATTATGACAGGTCACGTCAGGCCAAAGTACAAATGTTACCTTATGTACACTTTCTCCTGTCTGATGACCAAAGTTAAATTCTGGGATTTAGGATGCATTATCACTAAATAAAGATAAGGAGGGAAGGGTAGACACCACCCTCTGGAGCACCCCCACGGCCATCGGGAGGTAAATCACTGTCACTCAGCAGGAAGTGATGGTACCCTGGTTTGAAACCCGGGGCCTCGTTTGCTCACCGCTGAGGCAACACGTGGGGACCACTAAACGAAGACAGTATAACATGGTGAAAAGCTCAAAAGAGAGCCTGCATTGTTTTGATGAAATAGTATTATCATGTAGAACATCATTTTGGAAATAGATGAAATAGTATTACAAACAAACCCAATATATCCCATTAAGCACTAACTGATAGTTTTAGGTAATAGAGGTAACACTTTACTTAAAAAGTGGCAATAAAACAGCTTTGGAGATAGATTTTATAGAAATCACACATAGGCATGACCATATTATTTACATAACTCACATGCAAACACATAAAGTAGCCGGTATTTGTTATCAAACATTTAGCCAGCAGAATGTAATTAAACTAATCGTATCCCATCATGGTGACTTTCCTAATAATGGTGGGGAGAAATTTGAAGATCCATACGTCTAAAAGCTTCATAGGCTGAAGAAATTGCATCTTGTGTTTCCCTCTCACCCATGCATGCAACAGAAGTTATAACATCCCCACTAGCAGGATTGTTAACCTGCCACAACCAACAACAAATGTTGAATGAATTAAGCTACAATAACCCACGTTTTGCTCCTAAAGGAAAATCAACAACATATCAAGGGCATATCCACCAAAACACATCAACCAAGTTAGGAGGGCTAATTAAAATTTTATTATAAACCACAAGGGTGGTGCCTTATTGGTTTGAGCTTGGCTCCAAAGGTCAAAAGTACCAGGAGATCTCAGATTCAAATTCAAGGAGGAATAAAAATCCCCTTTGTGGCCATGGAGGTTCAAATGCAGTGACTCCATCCTATCTGCAAAGCAAGTGGTCCCCCTGGGATTAATCAGCTTGCATAACGCTTCGGATATCCCAGGTTAATCGGAAAAAAAATTATAAAAATTAAAGATCCATCCCCCCTCAAAACCAACAAAAATTCTAATCAGTTTTATAAGTTTTGGCCCCCTTTTGCAGATTTCCTGGTTCAGCTACTGTTTTTGCGGACAGCACCAAATCATCTCAAGTTCTTTAAAGTCAACTCAAATTGAGCGATCAGTGAAGCTAGATAATCCATGGAATATGGAGACGGAAGTCCAATATCAGCATGCATATTGCTATTTAAGTATAATTCAATTAGAATCAAGGTTTATATCGGGTAATGAGAGTTTGTGGAAGTTCAATACCTCGATAGTCCTCCCATCATACGCATCGGTCCATTTCCCTCCAATAAGACCTTTCGTTTGAAATAAACCAGAACTCTTGAGCCGAGCAACAATACTTTCCGTCTCCGTACTCATCTGACCATCCAAACCCCATTCGGTGAATTGATTCAACAACGACGATGAATTTATCAATAAAAAAGAGAAGAAAAAAACGATTAGAACCCTAACAACTTAGCAAGAAATAGAGTAATGGACCTCGCGGCGTAGAAGATCAGCGGGGGAGTGATTGTTGCAACGTAAAGCGTTTGAGAGTAAGAATGAAGAACGATGGCTATGAATTCTGCTGCCGCGATGAATTGTACGTGCAAACCTCATCATCATATTGGAACGAAACCACCTGCTCCTTGCTCCACGTAGTTAACAGCTTCCACCGCCCTTCTGGTGATGGCACAAATGGAGAATGCTTCAAGTTTTTTCAGTTACACCGCCTTCTGGTGATGGCACAAATGGCGACTGTTTCAAGCTCCAGGACCAGAAGGTAACTTGATTTGGTGCTAAGAGAATCAGTAGAAGTGTGTTGTTATTGATTTTAAACGCTATTCTTGTATTTATATGGGTTTATCTCTTTGGTTTTATGGATTTATATATGTAATTTTATAGATTAAATGTAGTTTCTGATGGACAAAAAATATTTTATTTTAGTATTAATAATATAATTTTTTATATATATAATAATTAAATATTATGTTAGAATTTAATCATAATCTTGATTATATTTTATATTTTTTGTATTTAAAATAAAATATTTATTATGTATTTAATTGTGTTTATCAGTTGGTTATAATAATTTAAACATATAGCTTTAAAAGGTTGAACTGTACGCCATTTACTTGTAGTTCTTGGATTGTAAGTAATATGTATCGTTAAACCGTACTTGATGCATTAAAAATGGTTTCTAAGACTTTTACCCAAATGTTTTATAATATAATATAAATTAAGTCTTTAAACTAATTTTTCTAGTGAAAAAACCATTAAACTTTCTCATTTTGAATGATTATTTTTTTATATGAAAAAACCATTAAATTTTCTCATTTTAAATGATGAAGTCCGAGATTTTTTTTTTCAAACTCTTAAAAATTGGTGACATGCATACTTTTAATTGTATATGGTTTTAAAAATGAGTTATCTTTGCAAGCTCGATGGTCATAAATTTATGATCTTAATTGTATATGGTTTTTGTTTAATATTGATAGAATATGTGAGTCTCAAGGTATTCATCAACAAATTTTCCGTCAATCAAGTTTCAGGACAAGACAATCATGTATTTATCACATATCACAATTAAAACCATACATCTTCTAATCCTTTCATAACAATTTGACAATTATTAGGGTTTAGGGTCTGTTTGGTTTGCAGGACTGAAAATTTGGATTGTAATGGATTTGAAATCATTGGTGTGTAGGATTTGGATTCCATTATTACTAAATAATTTATAAACAAATTATAAATGATTATAAAAATAATTGAATTACATTTTTATTAATCGATTATTACAAAACAAATGTTGTCAACATTTTTTAAAACATTGTTCCATACAATCCTACGAAATCCCGAGCACGCCGCAAGGATTTTAAAATCCTATGTATGTAGGATTTCAAATACAGATAATCCAATAAACCAAACATAGAATTGGAATTGATTTGAAATTCAAACCCTCTCAAATTCATTCTATTCTTGCAAACCAAACGACACTTCAGTTTTTCATCCCAACATGTCTACTAGATCTTGTTATATGTATATATACCACAAAGGGTCACATGTCACTATAATTTTAAACATGACCCCTCAGATATTTTTGTGATAATGATATAACGAGAATGAGATCCATTTTACACTCAATCCATCGAATTTGGGTTTTTTTTGCACATCTTTATCAGTAGTTTTATTGTTTGATAGGCTTCGTTCTAAATCAAACCAAGCTTTAGAAAGAAAGAAAAATCTATCTTCTGTCAACTAAATCGTATCTTCTCTTTTCTCTTTACATTACCATTTAATTTATATATGCACCATTTACATCATCATCTTCTACAGTTACTTGACTCGTGTATTTATGTATATATCAAAATTTAATTGGAGGAATAGAGAAAGAAACAACGAAAAATAGTAACAAGTGATTTTTTTTCCTATTAGTCATTTGCTTATTATTGTTATCGCAGTTTCAGATAAAAACCATACATGCATTTATAAAGTAAAGAATGCTCATAAATTTGAGATACAAGGTATATAAGAGTTTCAATAAACCATATAAATTAATTTTAACTGTCCATTTGAGAATTTAGTTATCTATTTTTAAAATTAGACATTTATTTAAAACAACCACATATTAAAATAGGAAAAAATCTAAAAAAACTCAATGAACTTTAGTGTTTGAAATGATTAAGTTTTTGAACAATTTTTTGGAACAAATAAATAATTGGACATTACAAAACATGTTAAGTAACTCATTGGACTTTCTAAAACCAGTTAAATACATTATTATGACCGATACAACTGATTAATGTGATAAAATAATGAAAATGTCTGAAAAAAACCAATGGACTTTCATATTTTGAACAATTTAATCCCTAAATATTTTAACCAAAAGAGTATTTAGATTTAAAAATAAAACAAATATACCAAAAAACTACTTACATTTAAAAAAGATTACTGATTAAATTTATTTAATAAAAAATAAAATATATTCTATCAGTGATTTTACAAACTAAA